TTCCTTTCCTTTCTCTTCCCTTCCCCCTTTTCTTTCCCCCTTTCATTTCCTTTCCTTTCTCTTCCCTTCCCCCTTTTCTTTCTCCCTTTCATTTCCTTTCCTTTCTTTCCTTTCCTTTCTCTTCCCTTCCCCCTTTTCTTTCCCCCTTTCATTTCCTTTCCTTTCTCTTCCCTTCCCCCTTTTCTTTCTCCCTTTCATTTCCTTTCCTTTCTTTCCTTTCCTTTCTCTTCCCTTCCCCCTTTTCTTTCCCCCTTTCATTTCCTTTCCTTTCTCTTCCCTTCCCCCTTTTCTTTCTCCCTTTCATTTCCTTTCCTTTCTTTCCTTTCCTTTCTCTTCCCTTCCCCCTTTTCTTTCCCCCTTTCATTTCCTTTCCTTTCTTTCCTTTCCTTTCTCTTCCCTTCCCCTTTTTCTTTCCCCCTTTCCTTTCCTTTCCTTTCCCTTCCCTTCCTCCTTTTCTTTCCCCCTTTCATTTCCTTTCCTTCCTTTCCTTTCCTTTCCCTTCCCTTCCCTTCCTCCTATTCTTTCCCCCTTTCATTTCCCTTCCCTTCCTCTTTTTCTTTCCCCCTTTCCTTTCCCTTCCCTTCCTCCTTTTCTTTCCCCCTTTCATTTCCCTTCCCTTCTTCTATCTTCCTTTCCTTTCCCTCCCTCCCTTTTCCTTCCCCTTCCCCCTCCCCTCCCCCCTTTTCTTCTGCTTTCTTTTCTTTTTCTATCTGCCTCTCTTTCCATCTCTTTCTTCCCATTTTCCCTCCTTCCCTCTTCCTCGGTATTACTTCCGTCTTCTCTTCCATTTCCTCGCCCCCCACCCCTTGAAGGGAAAAGACCACCCTATGGCCACCCCGCAACCTGGCCAACCGATCGGGGCCCGGCACTCAGCTGGCAGCCAACAACCGGCCCCCCTCCGGGACCACCCAGGGCCAGGCAGCCAGGCAGCCCCGCTTGGCCAAGTGGCGGCGAGTTCCGCGGGCCAGGCGGCGCTGGGCCTGAAGGGGCGGGGCGGGGCGGCCCCGGCGTTCCAAGTGGGCGGGGCCAGGAGGGTAGAAAAGGCCCCCGTCGGGCGGGGCAGAGCCAGGAGTCGCTTCTGCTGTCGGGCTGTTGCGCGCGTTACAGGCGGGATGAGTCCGGGAAGGAAAACCGGGGAGCCTTCGGAGCTGCGGAAGGTGAGACGGAGCGGGGGAGGCCCAGCCGCGTCCCTCGCCCCTTCCCCTGGCCGGGCCCGTGGGACTGACCCCCTCCTCTCCTCTCTCTCTCCCCCCCGCAGAGCCTGAAGCCCCTGATGGAGAAGCGCCGCCGAGCGCGCATCAACTGCAGCCTTGGCCAGCTCAAGACGCTCATCCTTCCCCTGGTGGGCAAAGACGTGAGTGGCGAAGCCCCCTCCCCACGCCAGACCCCTCCCCGGGCCCCCTGGCTGGCGGGAAAAGATTGCGGGGCCCTTTTCTACCCACCCCGGGACCGGGACGGGAAGTGGGGGCGAGCTCTTGACTCTACTAAGATGACTAATAAAAGAGAATATTTGCAGCAGGGTTGAAATGGGGGGTGTCTCTGAACTTGGGAGGGGAGGGGTCCTTCAACACAAGGACACACAACTAGGGAACATCATCAATGCTAGAAGGGAAGGGGGGTTGTGGAGTGGAGGAGGACTGTGTGGTCCTTGGGGGTCTCTGATCTTACTTGTTTTCTTGCAGACGTTTCGTGACCCAACTAGGGAACATCATCAGTGCTGGAAGGAGCTGTATATCAAACCAACACTCCCTCCCTTCTAGCACTGATGATGTTCCCTAGTTGGGTCACGAAACGTCTGCAAGAGGGGGAAAAAAACCCCATGCTCAGAGAGCACCATGGACCCCTCTGCAGGGACTCACTTAACAGCTGTGGCAAGAAAGGTCTTAAACCCTTGTCTCACTCAGCGACAGAATTGTTGAGCTCCATTGTGGTCGTAAGCCGAGGACTTGCGTCAGAGCTTGGGCAACCCTCTCGTGCCGAGCCCCTGGCCCTTCCCTTCTCTGCAGGGACTTCTTGGCAACACACTTGCGTGTGTGTGTGTGTGTGTGTAATCTTGCCTCTTTTTTTCCCCGCATCTCAACAACAACAACAAAATAATTTTCTCCCTTTCCCCTCCAGAATTCCTGCTATTCAAAGCTGGAGAAAGCCGACATTTTGGAGATGACGGTTCAGTTCCTCAAGGACCTGCCGACGTCTTGCGGCACGCTTCCCGGTGAGTGTGACAAGGGGCTGCACCGTTGTGTGTCCTTGTGTTGACAGAACAAAGGGTTGGGAATTGACATTTTTAGGCAGCGCCATCCCTAAACCTCGGATGGTGAACAAGCCATCCTCCACTTAACATTCGTTTTGTGAAGAAAGTGACTTAAGGGCCATTTTTCACACTTACGACCGACTGTGGCACCCCCCGTGGTCACGTGATCAAGATTCAGAGGCTTGCCAACTGGCATGGACTTATGACGGTTGAGCGTCCCAAGATCACCCGATCGAGTTTTGCGATCTTTCAACGAGAAAAGTCAAGGGGAGGAAACCGGGTTCACTTAACAGCCATTTAAAAACTGCAGGGATTCACTTAACAACGGCCCCGAGTCACTCTTGTCGCTGCCGTCGTGACTTCCAACAGTCACGTAATGAATTGTTCGGGGAATCGGGGAATAATTTTGAGTTTTTGCTTCCCGCAGGATCGGTGGATGGCTACTGCGAAGGCTACCACACCTGCCTGTCTCACTTTGCGACGCTGATCCCGAAGTACAACCTGCTGAGCCCGGAGGCTTGCAACCAGCTCTTGGCTCGCCTCCAGCAGACGTTCAAGGACTGTGCTTGGCATCACAACCGCACAAACGTGGCAAAGGACTTGGCATCAACGCCGCGGGCAGAGACGCCCCTGGGCCCCCCTGCTGGCCAACGGGACCAGGAAGACTTTTGGGGGTCTTCCCCGCCCGCCCAGCCTCCCCCCCTGTGGAGACCCTGGTAAAGGGGGGGGGAATCTTCACCCTGCCCAGTTTGGGACTTTTTTTTATAATCCCCTTTCTGCCCCCACCCCCCCCCCCCCGGGAGAAAAATGTGTATGTGCCAGGAGTGTGGAAGGCGGTTTGATGTGTCTCTGCAGGAGTGCCTGAAAACGCTTCTATGTTTTTGATGCTTTTAAGTGCGCTCGATTCCCCCCCCCTTCTTTTTTTTTTTTAAAAAAAGCAAACACTTGTGGGTCAGTTCTTGGGGGTTAACTATGTTCCCCGTGGAAATCTGGTGTTTTGTTTCATTTAAACCCGGAGATTGGAATTTGGGAGAAAGTAATTTTATATGCAGGCACTTTTAAGCTTCCCTACCTGGGGCCAGAAATCTTTTTTCTCTCCCTTCTCTCTTTCTTTCTCTTTTTCTCTTTCTCTCTTTTTCCATCTGATTTCTCTCTCTTTATCTTTTTCTTCCTTTTTCTCGCTTTCTCTGTCACTCTGTCTTTTTCTCACTTTTTCTCTTTCTTTCTCTTTCTCTCCTGTTCTTTCTCTTTCCATCTCTCTCTCTCCTTTCTCTCTCTTTTCCCATCTGATTTCTCTCTCTCTTTCTTTCTTTTTCTCGCTTTCTCTGTCACTCTGTCTTTCTTTCTCTTTGTCTCTTTCTCTCCTGTTCTTTCTCTTTCCATCTCTCTCTTTTCTCTTTCTCTCTCTTTTTCCATCTGATTTCTCTCTCTTTATCTTTTTCTTCCTTTTTCTCGCTTTCTCTGTCACTCTGTCTTTTTCTCACTTTTTCTCTTTCTTTCTCTTTCTCTCCTGTTCTTTCTCTTTCCATCTCTCTCTCTCCTTTCTCTCTCTTTTCCCATCTGATTTCTCTCTCTTTCTTTTTCTCGCTTTCTCTGTCACTCTGTCTTTCTTTCTCTTTGTCTCTTTCTCTCCTGTTCTTTCTCTTTCCATCTCTCTCTTTTCTTTCTCTTTTCCCATCTGATTTCTTTCTTTTTCTTTCTTTTCTCGCTTTCTCTGTCACTCTGTCTTTCTTTCTCTTTGTCTCTTTCTCTCCTTTCTCTTTCCATCTCTCTTTTCTCTTTCTTTCACTCTTTCTCTTTGTCTCTTTCTCTCCTGTTCTTTCCCTTTCCATCTCTTTTTCTTTCTCTCACTTTTTCTTTCTCTTTGTCTCTTTCTCTCCTCTTTCTTTCCATCTCTTTTTTCTCTCCTTCACTCTTTTTCTTTCTTTGTCTCTTTCTCTCCTGTTCTTTCCCTTTCCATCTCTCTCTTTTCTTTCTCTTTCTTTCTTTGTCTCTGTCTCTCTATCTCTCTGTCTCTCTCACTAACCCCAACCTCAAAACCTCCTTTGTGGTTATTACACAAAAGGGCCACAGGCCAGTAAACCCCCACGCCCCCCAGGTGCTGCATTACAGAAAGTCCTCGGCTTGCAACCGTTCTCCTTTAGTGACCAAAGTGAACTGAGAAGAGTGACTGACAACCAGTCCTCACACGTATGACCATTTGCCACAGCCCCACAGTCAGGTGACCAAACCACAGGCCCTTGTCAACCAGCGATCTTCCCAAACGGCTTCCCACAAGCGCAGCTGGATTTGCTTAACGACGGTTCTATTCACTTAACAACGGCAGAGTTTTCGCTTAAGGACCAATGGCGAAAAGGTCATAAAATCGTGTGGGGACTCCCTTAACGGCAGCATGGCTTAGCCATTCAAATTCTGATCCCCAGCGGTGGTCGTAATTTGGGGATTGCCTCGTTCTCCCTGGTTTCTACCTTGCACAACTATTGGTACTCGCGCGTGCCAAAAAGACTGAACAGCACTTTAATTCTATATATATATAATATATGAGTACATTTTGATAGCCAATAAAAATGTCTGAATTGATTTTCAAACCCGCGTCAATTGTTTTACTGCTTTTAATCTGATTTTTTCAGCCAGCGGGGAAGAGGGACATCTTGCTGAGAATGTTATGCTTAAAAATATTGGTTCGTTTTCGGACATCTAAAAATGAGTTTTGAATGGAGTTTTTTAAAAACTCCCAAGTGTGTTTTCATGTGTCATTTATTCCCGTTGCACAAAAAGCTTTGGTGAAGCACCCAGATTTATTCTTTAGGGGGGGCGGAAAAACTTTGAAAAGTTGAGAAGAAGAGAGAAATCAGCTGGAATTTACCCAGATTTCATGTTTTAATAGGGGTTTTTTTTTCGGGAATGGGGGTGGGTGGGAGGAAGTGTTCAAGATAATCTTTATTGTCATTATGCTTAAATACAACAAAATTGGTAAACGAAAGATAAATGAAAGGCTTAAAGAATTCTGCTCTGTGGTGGTTTTTCTACTTTGTTTTATTGAAGCCACGGAATCAGAGTTGAACTGAATTAATCCAGAGATTTCTCGCTGAAGTGGGGGAAGCAGACAGACTTAAGGAAACGTTTATTTGAAAATTTAAGGCACAGATAAATTTGACGCATATTTTTTTTTAAAGAGGGACAGTAGAAGCGAAGGGATGGAAAAAGAGAAAGAGGAAGACAGAGAGAGAAAGTGAGGAGAGAGAGAGAATGAGAAAAAGACAAAAAGAAAGAGATGGAGAAAGAGAGAGAAGGAGAGAGAAAAAAGGATAAAAAGAGAAAGACAGAGAAAAGAGAGTTTGGAAAAACGCAGCCATTTAGCCCCAAAATCCCAGCCTATCTCCCCCTCCACACCTTCCCTGCTGTCAGGAATTCTGTCAGCCAATTATCAAGCATGTGTCAGGCAGTTCCACAGGCGCTCTGTGAATTTTCGGACGCCGCCTTCCTGGTGCATACCGTGTGCTGTCACTTCTTTCCAGAAACAACCTGTAATTGATTTTTGATGGCTCACATGGGAGGTTTCAAAAGCAGACAGGTAATTAACTGCCTCGGGCGAAGAACCGCACCTCTTTCTCTCTTTCTTTCTCTTTCCCTCATTCCATTTCTCTGTTTTCGGTCTTTGTCTGTCTCTTTCTGTCTTTCTCTTTCTGGCTCTCTTGTTCTACCTTTCTTTCTCTCTCTTTTTTTTCTTTTTCTGTCTTTTTTCTGTCTCTTTTTATCTTTTTTTTCTTTCTCTTTCTGGCTCTGTCTTTCTCTGCCTCTCTTTCTTTCTTTTTCTTTCTTTCTCTGTCTCTCTCTCTCTCTGTTTTTCCCTTTTTTTCTTTCCTTCTCTTTCTCTCTTTCTCTTTATTTTTCTTTCTCTTTCTCTGCTTTCTGTCTTTCCCTTTCTCTTTCTCTCTTTCTCTCTCTTTCTCTTTTTCTCTGTCTTTTTTCTTTCTGTCTCTATCTTTTTTCTCTTTCTGTCTCTGTCTTTCTCTGCCTCTCTTTCTCTTTCCATCTTTTTCTCTTTTTCTCTTTCTTTTATTTTCCCCTTCTATCTCTTTCTCTGCCTCTCTCTTTCTTTCTGTCTCTGTCTCTTTCATCTCTCTTTTTTCTGTCTCTCTCTCTTTTTCTTTTTGTATCTTTCTCTGCCTCCTTCTGTCTTTCTTTCTCCCCCTCTCTCTTTCTGTTTTTCTCTTTCCATCTCTTTTTCTCTTTTTTTCTTTCTTTTTCCTTCTGTCACTCTCTCTCTCTGCCTCTTTCTGTCTGTCTCTCCCTCTCCCTCTGTCTCTCTCTCTGTCTCTGGGCACCTGGGCTACTCTGAGAAGTTCTTAAGGAGCCACAGAGAGTCCTCGACTTACAACAGTTCACTTACTGACCGTTTGAAATGACAGGAACTCTGAAGCAACAGACTTAGAACTGCTTTTCACACTTACAATTGTTGCTAGTGATTAAAATTATGGCCACACGTTGAGGACTAGCAGTATTAAATAAACATAAAACAAATGGATGCATCCTTCCCACTCTGAGATTCGAACCCTCAGTAACTGGGGCTCAAATCTGATTTTTTGGGGGGGGGATTTTCTCGCCGTCTCCTTGGGATGCCTTGCAGCTTGCAAGTTTCACGGGTGAATTTTTTGGGGCTGGCCCAGCTCATTTTAAATGCCATTGAGAAAACTTGGTGAACCCAGAGCCAAGAGGAGGTTTCACACGTCCAATTAGGAGCTGCCAATCCGGTTCCTCCTAATTGGGACACCACCGAGGGATGACTGCAGCCAAATGACAGGTGAGATTTTAACACACGGCAAATATTTCTCCCCCCCCCCCCTGCCAATCATGCAAATTTGTCGCCCGATCAAGAGAGAGCCGGGAAAGAGAGTTGCAATTGTTTAATTACTGGCTGGAAATCCTGGGCTGACGCCAAACCTATTCCCCAAATCCAGAAAGGCAGCAGGGAGGGAGCCGAACCTGTTGAAAGGGATTAGAAAATTAAAAGTTAAAAAGCAGCTCTCACCTCACCCACCCCCACCCCCACCCCCCAAGGGTCTGGGCTGAAGCAGCGATACTTGGCAGGGATTCCAGGAAAAGCCCCTTCGGCTGCGGCAATCTTTGATTTTTGTGGAATTTGCCACGTCTGGGTTTGGAGGCCAGAGGAGGCTCTGGCGCTGTAGACCGGGATCCAGAGATAGAGAGAGAATGGCAGGATGGGAGGAGAGAAAGAGAGGAAGGAAGGAAGGAAGGAAGGGAGGGAGGAAGGTACGTAGGTGGATGGATGGATGGAGATATAGATGATATATAGATAGATGATAGATAGATAGATAGATAGATAGATNTCGGTCACATGGCTGTCAAGCCACTCCCACAAAGCAGGCCACACCTACAGAAGAGGTTCTAAAAAAATTTGAAACCCACTACTGGTAGCCACCCACAATTTCTACTACAGGTGCAGGAGAACCAGTCTCAACCAGCTTAATGCCATCTCTGGCCCTATCTAACAAAATGAAATTCAATGTAGATAAAAGTCAGATTTTACACTTAAGTAAGAAAAATCAACTCTATAGGTGCAAACTGGGTCCGTGATGGAGAACCTTCATGTGGCACACAAAGCCATGTCTCCCAGCATGCACAGCCCTGCCTATTTGTCTTCTGCATTTCTGGCGCACATGCACGCACGACGGTTAGCTGTCCTTTGCGCGTGTGGC